TCGGAGAGAGCTCAGGGTACTGTTGGTGGAGCGAGGCCACAGCCTGCTGCCCGGGAGCACGTGGCCACCCTTTCTGCCGGGCCAGGGCCACGCTGAGGTCCCTGGGGCAGCATGGCACGTTTTTCAGAGGTGTCGACACTCCTTGCTGGCTGGCCTCTTCCCTCCCACTCCTGATTTGACTCTTCTCCTGTGGGCAGGGACAGCCAAGCCTCAGTTCCACCAGGCAGCCAGGGCCCAGAATCCCGCACCCAAGATGCTCAGAGCTAGCTCCAGGCCTCCCGGGCCAGGAAGCACAGTTCCAGGGGTGCCCTGGGCCCGGGCGGCACCTGCAGGCCGGCTGGTCTGTGCAGTGCCTCTGGCCCCTGCTGCACCATGGGAGTGCCCCCACGGCCCCCCGCGAGGCAGCTCAGGTCGTAGCCAGAGGCAGCCAGGACCTTAGGCCCTGCCGTGTCTGTTTAGCTTCCCACGGGCCTTCCCGGAGCATGGACCAACCTGGAGGGAGTCGCAGAGGGGAGAGAGAGAACGAGAGCGGTGCCCTGCCAAACACGCAACTGAAGGGGTCCAGAACCACCAAGATCAAGCCTGGTCTAAGAGACACAGCAGTCCGGGAGGGGCGTAGTCATGGTGGGCTCACTGCAGCCCGGAGGGGTGCCCTCGGTGCTGACGCTGGGGCCTTGGGCTTTCTGGTAGGCAGCAGGAAGCGGAGCCCACGGTCCACGCGCACCTGCCGACCCACTCGGTGCTGAGTCAAGATCCTTCACCTGGTCCTGGCTCCCTGTACCCTGCCTCCTCAGAGAGGCACACCGTCCGAAGGTGCAGAGAAGGCCTACATTGAGAACCCTGGTGCCTGGGGGGCAGAGCTAGCACTCCCCACAGCTAACCCGGGCAGCGTGAGTGCCTGGGCCCAACAGGTGTGTCTCGGATCTTGACGAGGCCACCTACGACCCACGATTTATCTGAGTCACTGAAGACAAGGCAGCAGGTTTCCCAGAATGACTAATGAGGGGAGGTCTCGCAACCAGGTCTCAGGGCCTCCACGGGGCTGAGCTCACGGAGACAGAGGAGCGGAAGGGTCACACGGACAACGCACACGGTCTCTGCACACGCCCTGGGGATCAAGGTGGTCACCAGGAGCTGGCGCGCGCCGGACCATGGGCGCCTGTGCCTAGGAGTAGCTGTGGCAGCCCGAGCCAGCCCGTCCA